GGTGGCCTCAGCCCTGCCGGCTGCCCCCGGGCCGGCGTCGGGCCTTCAGGAGCCGTGGGTGCAGCTTGTGCTTCGGCGGCAGAGGGGAGATTTACCTCAGCTGGAGAGAGGGGGCCCTCCGGGCCCCAGCAAGCTCAGCGGGCAGGTTGTGTCATTCAGACCTCTCGCAGCACTTTGTGTCGTTTATTTTTAATCTGGAGTGTTCGGTGTGGAGATGATTAATGCAGAAAGTGTTTTACTTTTTACTGTACAAATTAAAAATATAGACAGTAGGGGATTAGCCTTCCAAAAATGATGCTTAAATACAGCTTCAGAATATTTTAATATTTAATTTGTGTGCCTGCTTGAAGTAATCTTTAAATCCATGCTTTTGTAGTTACCTGGCTCACAGCTGCTGTTCGTCATACTCTGATGTGAACGCTTACATGATGGCGGAACTGCTTCATGTGAAGGACAAAGGTAATAAAGTTGTAGGTGGAGGTTAGAGTAGCAAGATAACAAGAAGGGGCTTCCAGAGTGTGTCATGGGCCTAACATCTCCATTTGCTGAAGCGTGCTAGCAGAGCAGTAGTAGATAAGAACCTTGCGTCTTCCTGCAAATACTCCGTAATGCAGGCATGCGTTAGCGTTGTTGATCAGATCCCTTTGCAAATACTTTTGTTTCTAGGAAGTTCCATGGAAGACACAGCTGGTAGAGGGAACATGCTGTTGACAGCTGCAGCTGGTAAAGGGAATACTGTGAGTTGTTGCGCTTTATAATTGCCCCAAATATTCTGAGCATTTCTAGAAATGATCAGCATATATTGCTCTTTCTAGAACTCTGAAATTTTGACTCTCTTTTTTGACACATTTTGATATATTAGCATACTTCTGCCCTAATGGGCAGCTTTTTTTCTGGTGAGAATCACTTAAATTTTTCTTCCACAGGTGTCATATTCTGGTGTGATTCGTGAGAAGCCAAAGAAATGGCAGTGTTCCTCTGAAAATGTTTTCTCTATTGGCGATGACAAGAGCCTCTTTCGTTCATTAATATCACCCCCTCAAATGAGGACTTGCCATCATTGTAGTCTGTTTGGTAAGTGCCTGTTGTCCTGCAGTCTGTGATGCATAGTATATTTGTCAGCGAAGCCACATCAGAAGGTCTGCTTCTTACTTCTGTGTCTTAAAATGGATGTGTATTTTTATCTGTCAGATGCAATGTAGTGACTATTCAGAACGTAGTGGAGTTACAGAACTGATAAACAGATGAGACCATCTTCTTAATGAAAAATGTTTGAGGTTTTTTCCTTCTTAAATATAGAAAGAATTTGAGACATCTGGGGCAGTAGTGTCTGATAGCTATATGCGAATACAAATACCTATTTGTATGTGCTTAGAACTGTAGTTGAACCGTCTTGTAAAGCAGTTACTAAATAATATGTGGAGTCTGTATCTTATCAGAAGAGACAACAGCTGTTACGGATGTTTGTCTGACTTTTTTTTAGGATCGCTCAGATGTTCACAATGTAAGCAAATATACTACTGCTCTGCAGATTGTCAGAAGAAAGACTGGCCAGCACATAGTGTTATATGTAAGCCAGTTAAAGAGAAGTAAGTTTGTTAAAAGTTCTGCCAAATAATCTTTACAGAAAGAAAATATCCCACCCAATACAACTTAAATGACCATGTAAAGGCACTATTACAGTAGAATGGGTTGCTTACTCCCAGGCTACTACTGCATTATTGATTTCACACATGTCAGAAAACTCATCTCTGCTGCTTTAGAAGGGTGACTTGAAAGATACTGTTGGAGTTCTTAAGGTGTTCTGTAGTGTGACTTCTAGCAAAAGCGTTATTTTTACCTGCGTTGGAACTGTGTGAGCGTGCAGTAAGAATACCAGCTTATCACGTGACAACCCTAATTGCTGTTGATGATGTAGGGAAGGGAGGAGAAATGACACTGTGTTTTTCAGCATTGGCATGGTTAATGGATTGCATTTGGCAGACTCTGAAGAGGCACCATTTAAATCTAACTGTAGCCTGAGTGAACTTCATGGATATTTTATCTTTGATGAGCACAGCTGCAATTAGAAGAAGTTGTCTCAGCCAGGCCATTCTCTAGCTGCTCATTAGCGCTTTTTGACATGCTAGTTTAGATGCTCAAGAGATAGCTTCCTAATCTGTTTCAATTAAAGTAAGTACCATTAGGTTATGACACAGTACAAATTGACTGGCTGGGATTGGAACAGTTTAGGGGTGTGATGTGAGCATTTATGCCAACAATCTCTAGTAAGGAGTGATGATCACAGTTCTGTGACTCTGCAACCAGGTGTCCAGAATAAAAGTTTACAAGAGATTTATTTTTCCACAAGTTCTACTACAGTGACTGAATCAGGGAGACATGGGGACAATCTGGCATATGTATTATCTGGATAGTACTTATGTATTCAACTGAAATAAGAACATTTCTTTTTTGCGATTTTGTAGTTCTTAAGGTTTGCTTGGGATTGCAGCGTTAGCAGAACTCTACAACAGCATTCACCATTTTAATCAAAATTAATTGAGTTTTTGTTGGTGGCCTCAGGAAAAACATACCAAGTGTTACATGACGGGGAACTAACAAATTTACTATTCTGCATTTTTTTGGAGGAGGAATAAAGGTTGACAAAACCCACACACTATGAACACCCACACACTATGAACACAGCCTTTTTGTTTTATTTGCAAGTAGGTGTTATGGATACTACTTGTCTATGTCTGCTTCTTCAAAATTAACCTGTTTTTCTTTGATTACAGTGCAAGTAATAATAATGGAGGCAAGTTACCTGCTAAAACTGAGAAGGGAGTTTATCTTAAGGTATAAAATACAATTTTCACTATGTCTGTAATGGATCTGCTGTGAGTTGGTTGCAGTAGGAAAGGAAAAATTTCCAAATATTATAATCTGCTCCTTTTAGAAAGATCAGTGCTTGAAATCAAAAGTTACTAGGAGAAACACTCAAGGATATGTTACTGTTGGAGCCTTTAGCAGTGCTATCAGACAACTCATGTTTTTGTTTGAAAAAATCTTTGTGAAGAAGTTAAAAATCAAGGCATGTATGATGTTGCTAGAGAAGTATTTTAGGGAGGAAACAGACGTAGCTTGTGCAATTCAGAAAAACTCTGGTGTCTTCTTGTTTTCTATGTAGATCATGAACCGGTGCTTGGAGCCTTGTAAATGACTTGAGAAATACATTTAATGTATAGTAACAGATGCAGATAAGCTTTTGCTTCTTTGCTGTAGCAGGAATTAAGTGTGACAGTTCTCATTTGTAATGTTTTGAAGCCTCTCTTGATCTTACTTTCAGCCAAACATTTCCTGTAGTCTTCCTATGAACTCTCCTACAGGAGCTCATTTTGTTGTCTTTATAGTTTCTTGGGATGATATCTGTGCAAGCAAGTAAATGTGCACACCTCCAACTAGCCACGTGTTTGCACTGTACAAGAAAACTCCTTTTGTCATACCCTTCTTTAAAGTAGGTCATTGTTTAACTTTTTGAAGGAATTTAGAAAGGAGGCTTCATTTTGGGTCATGAGACTTCTGTTAGTTCATCCTGGTAACTTTCTGCTGTGTGCAGTTATGACTGTTCTAGTAAAGCTGATCTGCTGATGGTGAGGGACCTTTATATCAAGAGGCCATACAATATGAATAAATAACGTGAAGCAAATGTATTTTGAAATAACAGAAGGTTTTATTTTTTGTGGTTCATCTGAATTTCAAGCAAGTTCTGTGGAAGCAAGAGATCTTATATTGCATATTGAGCAATCTTTAACGTATTTTGCTATTGTACTGTGAGATGTGTTTTTATGGAAAATGTTCTAAAGGGTCTTTGTTGCAAGTAAATGAGTTTGGCGGTTGTAACAGTAATCATTGTTTGCAGTATGTGGGTCCAAATGTAAAGAGGTTTTCCCCAACGCTGTGCATAAGATTATTTTTCTAACATTTTAGGATGTCACGGACGGTGTGCATTAGGCAGGTAACACTAGATGTTTAGACATTTTAAAAAAATGGATGTCTGCAGTTAAAGCAGTAACCAAAATCTAATCTGTGGTGTTAAGGCTGCAAGGAAGCAGGTGGAATTCAGTTCCTCTTATTTATGAGAGCATCACAAGCAGGAAATACAGCTAAATTGTCCTGTAAAACAGGTGTGAAAGGAATAGGTGAATGTGTGAGACTTCAGCACTTATTTTTCATTGTCTGTTCAGTACATTTCTGTCATAATGTTTTATTTTCAAGAGTAATATGAAGTCTGTAAGGCTTCTTATTGGAAGTCGACAAAAGCACTTTTTTACATGCTTCTTGAAATGATAAAAAGTTCTTTTTTTTTTTTTTTGTTTGTTACTGCAAGGAGCTACAGCTGAATGATTCCAGTTTAAACATAATTTGTAACTGTTTTAAATAGGGTAATTCAGCTTCTGCGGATTCCCTCAAGACAGAAGAGCACATCAAGAAAATAATGCTTTCAGATCTCCAGACTCTAGGGATCAAAAAATCTATGGAAGTACAGGTACTTTTATTTTGGAAGAATCCTACGATGCTGTGTTAGGTTGCATTTGAAGTATTGTTAAGCATATATAGCTGCATGTCACCTCAGCTCTTAGTCTTATTTTGCTTACATGTAAAATTCCTTTATTTTTTATAAAGATGAATAAATGCAAGCGGAGGCAGGAGGAGTAAGCAAGGAAGATTATTTCTGTGGAGGTGAACATCGCTGGTTTTGTTCCTTGCACTTAATTACTGCTAATTTCAAACCAAAAGAACAAAATCGGGTATAGGTTGAAATGCATTTATTAAAATGAACTCTGGTCCTGAATAATATACTGTAGGTTGTTCTTGCATAATTATAATCTACTGTGGCTTTTTTCTTTAGGGTACTGTAACAGAGTTCAGGAGTCCAAGTGAATTTTATATACAGATGAGTTCTCCAGAAGTTTTAGACCAGCTCAGTAAACTTTCTGTGAAACTGCAGGACTGTTACGCTAACACAGTTATTCAAGAGCAATATATTGCTATCAAAGGGGAAGTCTGCGTTGCAAGGTGTTCTTTCAATCAGGTAACATCTGATTGTCCATAAAATAACCATTCTGTGTTGAGCTCATCATGTTTTGCATGTCTTGCTTTTATGTCTCTACCAGTGAAGGCTGCTAATTAGAGACCACTTTATTGTGGTGGAGTTGTGGTAGTAGTAAACTTTGTAACTTCTGGAACTCAAATTTAAGTTGCTGATTTTTTTCCCCTCTCTAAACAGTTTACTTCTATGTGTTTATGTACTCGAGCCCTGTAGGTGCTGTTTGTCCTACTGTTATTTGAAGGCTGTGTGTGTTCTTAGCAAATTTGAACTACTGTAGTTAGAACAGTTTGGGATATGACTCTGCTTATTTAAGGAAATTATTCTTACTTCATTTCTTACCTGACTTTTCTGGTTGCATTTCTGTAGCCACATGTAGTTCCTGTTTCCTTTCCCACCCCTTTTTTGTATTTCTCCCCCTTTTTCTCCTCCATCATTAGCGGATTCTTCATTTACTGAACAGTAGGCAATATCGATAGGAGTAGAATTTTATCTTCACAGCAGTCAACACTAGTGAGTTGTGTTTGTTTGAGTTGCTTCAGAATTGGTCGGTGCCTTTGTTGATAAACAAACCTGATGAAGTAAAGCAAAATATGTTGTGTTCTTCCTAAGATTATCGTTTACTCCTACACAGACCTGGAACAGAGCACTGGTGAAAGAAGTGGATATATTACAAAAGAAAGCACAAGTATTCTACATAGATTATGGAAATGAAGAAAATATTCCACTCTCCTGGATTAAAGCTCTGCACAAAGACACTGAACTGTTGTTTCCTCCATGTGTGAGTTGTATTTTTTTAACAGTTGCTGAGGTGTTTTAAATGAATAGCTCTGAAATGAGTGTAACTTGTGTCTCAGTGTGACTGTCATTATGACAGTATTTTGTCTTCAGTGGAAGTGACACATAAAAACTGGTATACTACACTAAGCTTCAATTTCTGAAATGTTCCCTAGCTATTCCATAGGAGCGAGGAAGGTTGCCTGGCTTTTTTCTGCCTAGTCTCAGAATTCTTGGATTCTGAGCTGGTAAAAAACTCTCTGCGGGGTGGTTAGGTCCACATCTCCCTTACATGCTAGAAGACAGCAGGGGAAATGTTCTGCCTGTGTATTCTAGTCTGGTCTCGTGCAGTAGTGAAAAAACACTCGTAGTTTGGGTAAATTTTGTTTGGAATATAGACAGCTGTTGATCTGAGTTCGTTGTCCTACTATGTGAATGTCTTTCATTACAAAATAGATGGTCTAGCTTTAATCTGAGAGTTAAACTAGTATGTTTAACTGCACAAAGCAGAATTGGGAAGCATTCTTTCAACCAGTGACAACTCTGGCTAGCAACTATTAGAACAGTCTTCCGTAGTTTGTTCACGTGACTTTCTCCTGGGCCCATAAAAGATTTTGAGAGCTGTTTGAATCTTGGAGTAAAGTCCTCAGTGTCTGCTGAGGGCAAGTCAGGACATACACCTGTGGTCAGATGTGATGGGTGGTACAACCATGCCTTACATAAGACAGCATAAATAATGGGAGAATCAGAGGAGATGTTCTTTACAGTTTGAATTTAATTTCCTAGTTCTTAACTCTCTTGCAAAGAAGGTATTTAATTTGATAGCGCTTCAAATTCCAACAGCAGCTTTAACTTTTATATGCAATATGATATTTTTGAGGGCCTTAATTATCAAGTCGCTGTTTCTACAGGGCAAACAGCCCCCTATCCCCTCTTGTTCTAATTGTAATTCTTTCCAGGCCATTAAGTGTTCCTTTGCTAATTATGATCCAGAAGAAAAAGGATGGAATGAAAGCATTGCCAGCTTTTCTTCCCACCTCATGGGAAAGCACTGTTCAGTAACTGTTGTTGACATATTACAGGAGGAAATGATGTGGAGTTTTGCTGTAGACTTTGTTCTTCCAGATTTTAGTAAGTACTTAGTAGTGTGGGAGGAAAAACTCAACACAATCGATGTCTTTCGTGTTCACTTTCCCTCCTCCTACCCCTGACCAATACCTTCAAAAGAGGAGAGGTTTTTTCTTTTGCTCTCCTCCCTTTTCTCTCTCTTCCAACCTGCCCCTTGACCTTTTTTTTAAATCATTATTTTAGTTTCCTTTTCTTTCAACTTTCCCTATAGAGGTAATTTTAAAATGTTTGTACCTTAAATCTTGTTATGCTTAATAACCTTAAATTTTAGTAAGATTGCTTTTCCAATAGAATTGTAATAATTCAGAAAACGCTGAATTTGAGGCATGCAAATTTGGGACCATGTTGTTCATTTTCTCTCATGCATTTTTAACTCTTTAAAAAATGGCAGTGTCAGTTTCTAGTTCCGCTAAGGATTTTACAGGCTTTTGTTGTATTTAGTACATGCTCACTAAACAAGTAACCCAAAGAAAGTGTAACCACGGGATATTGTTGTATGTAGCTGGAGCACTCTAAGCACGTTTGTATTTCTAACTTAGCAAGCCTCAGTAGGTAGAGACAAGCAGAGCACCTGAACTCTGAGGAGTCCGAATTCAGATTTTCAGTTGAGCTGCCAGGGTGGCTTTGACTGGGGAACCAGATCAATACAGAGAAGATGTGGCTATTGTTGTTATCTGGAGGGCTATTTTGTTTGGGTTTTTTTCTGTCTGCACAAGAAGAAAAGTATAGTGCTAAGAGCATATTCTTTTCATTGATACGCAGCCCACAGAAACTTTGAAGAAAGTGATGGCCGATCCTCTTAGCTTGCTAAAATTCCTGATGTGCAGGAAGCTTATCTCCATGTCATAGTCCTTGCAATCTGTAAAATCATGGTTCACCTTAGTCCTGTGTAAGTTCAGCCGATTCAGGGTTGTGCTGGGCATATTTCACATCTTGTTGCTTTACAGCACACTAACAGTAAAGCAATACAATTTGCCAGTCTCTTGGAGAGAAAATCATAAAAATACTACTGCATTCATGAAATGTTGCATGCACCTATTCCATGACCTTACAAGCAATTTAAACATCTGTATTCATGTTTTCAGTTGAAAATAATTATATTGAAAGTTTGGAATACTGCTGAATGCATTGGAAATTGAATACGTAGTAGCTTAGAAACTCAAGATTTCTTTGTGAATCTTGGTAACTCACTTCATACTCAGTGTTGTGAATCCTTGTGTGAAAAGCTGTAATCAGTTTTTCAGCCAACAGTCTTTAGTTACTATGAGTAAATGTTGATTGTTACTGCTCTGCTCGCTTTACTTAGTCAAACAGTGTTGGAGTTGTGAATGTCTTCAGAAAACTCAAGTAGTTGAGTTACTGTGAAACTACTTTTATTTTACATTCTAAGCATATTAAGTGCTCATAAAATCAGTAGAACATACCTTGTGATAGGGGTATAGGTCAGGCTCGGACAGTGGTTCTGAAATAAAACTAAATGATGACTCTTGTATGGTAAATTACTTCGTTTCTTACATCTGTATTTTAGGAGACTGCTTAGATAAAGTACCTGTAGAAATGAAGTCTGATTTAACTCCAGGAAGTAACGCCAAAGGAGCAGATGCTCCAAGAGGTAAGCAAGCAAATCAAACTTCTTAGTAAGAGATGGAAAAAATCTTGGGAATTTTAAGTTCTCCTATGTTGCATGATATTCTGAAAGTAGTAAATATTCTAGCCGTTCACTAGCGTCACCTCCTACTTAAAAACATTGGTTAGTGGAGTTTCCTTCAGTTCACTAATGACAGTAGCACATACACTTTTTACTAGTATGAAGTACTTGTCAACTGATGATTATGTGAGCGTTGCTTTCAGGATAATATGATAGGAGCCTTTAAAGTCCAAAGAGTCAGCAAAAAGAATAAACTGCTTCAGCATGTTTAAATTTTGTAGTTTAATTTAGCAGTTTTTTAAGTCTCTGAATCCTGTCTGGTGAGGTTGCACATTTCAAGGTCAGAAAACCGTTCTCAGGGAGGCAGAGAAACACCTGAAGATGAAGAACTTCTTCACTGTGCTGATTCGGTTGCAAAGTGTGTCTCTGTATCTATCGGAGATACATTTGCAGGTGTGGTTTCCTGCGTTCAAAATCCAGAATGCTTTTTCTGTCAGCAGATACACAGTGCCTGTAAGTGACATGTTGAAAAGGGGGTGTAAGATACCTAGTATGGAATTTCTTTCTTCAGTATAGTGGCTGGAGGGAGGTGTTGCTGGTCTTGTAGTTTGACCTGAAATGTTGATTCCCTGTAGCATTAGCCCATGCCTCAGTGAAGAGTCATGGTGTTGCAGAGGATGTTTTTGGCAGCGTTAGCCGTTAATATTGGTTACTAAGCTTAAGGTGATAATTTGTGGGCAGTCTGAGTAGTGCAAAGTAGAAAGATGGTATGGCATGGATTTTAGCAATCTGAAGTCAATTTGTATCACAAATATTTAATATTAAATATGTTCTCTCATGTGTTCCATAAATGTGTGAGAGTTTCAAATGACTTTGTTAATTCCTGTGATGCCTTGTTGCTTTACCACTGGAGGGAATTGTTTCCTTACAGGCTGGGTGGGCGGACTGGACTTCTTTGTTACATAGTATGGGGAGAATATCTGAGTATGAGAAGGCCAGATAATAGCACCCAAACGCTGCTTTGCGTCTTCTGATACAGTAACTCATAAGACCTTAAATAACACTGTGGTGGGCCAGAGTGCTAGGCTGCAGGGACTTTTGGTGCATCTCCTGCAGTGCCCATGAACAGATGTCTGGGGAGAATAAGAGCAGAGTAAGTTTGTAGTATGTGTCCTCTTAGCATTGTCCGAGCCAGCAGTTTTTTGTTTGGGTTTTTTTTTCACCTAAAACGGCTTTTGCAGCTGGATGTGATCTGGTGTATCTTCTGTGTACTTGTGCAGCCTTTGAATTCTGGATGGACTGATAGCATAGCGTGGCCTTCAGCAAGAAGTGACACTTGTCATCTGCCCGTTGTCTGAAGAGCTGTCTTCCTTCATTTCTTCCTAGCATGCCTCCACTAGCTTGGTTTCACTTCCCACTGGCTACAGTTTTGTTCCTGTATTGAAAAAGTCTATGACTGGTTTTTGCCTGTCTGTTTTCTTTACCACTGTGATTCCTCAGACTCATGTGAGGACTCTCTTCAATCTCAGTGATTCAAGAGTCCTAGTCTCATCATTGTTTTAGTATTATGTTAAACATTATGTGAAATAATCTCCATTATACTACAACACGTTTCTCCAGGCTTTGAACTTAAGATTTGTGTACTTTTGTAATAATTGCAAGGCTGTATATATTCCAAACCGTGTATATTTTAACATCAGGTCAACTTGCTGAGCTACAGCGGTCTCTTAACGAACATTGTGACAAACTTCCCAGTAGTTCAGCTTTCTGTCCTGCTGCTGGAAATGTGTGCTGTGCCCAGTTCACAGGTAAAAATGGAGTGAAAATAAGTTCTTAATCTATGTCACTTTATTAATAGCAAATGATGACCTATAAAATATTAGTTTAAAAAGAGACTGTAAAATGTTCCCTTCATTGAGCAGACTTTAAACAGTGGGTTCACCTTTGTATAAAGGAGCTTTTTAAGAGATGATAAAGAAATTTTGTTTTTATATGTTGGTGAGCACTATTTCCTATGGCTGAAAATACAGACTTGAAATTTTAGAGTCCATAAAAGGGGCAGAAGAAATGAGACTATATGTCATGATGCTGCTCTGATAGATGACTTCTCAAAATGTTACTTAGCCAAGACCTGGTAGTCCTGAATTGTATGTTCATAACTTAACTGTCAGGTGGAAACTATCAATGATGTCAAGTTTTTACAAGTCTTATGATAAAAGTGAATGTTGGCTAAACATAGGCCAGTATTCTGCATAAAGCAGTGGTTTGTGCTAGGAACTGGTAAGTCTATATGAAAGAAATACCTTTTATTTATTAGAATCTGAAGTTTTGTTTGCCTGAGTGCAGTAGGATGAAGATGAATCTCTTTTCCTCACAGATCATTCTCCTTTTCATCCAGCTTTTAACAGGAAAAAAACCTCAGCACATTGCTGTTCTTTCACCTTTTTTCTGGTCAGAAATGTTGTTGCTACAGCTTCTATTTGTGACTGATAAAGATTTCTGGTCATTTATTTCTTTCTAGTGATTTTGCTGATTAGCTGTGGGACTGAACAGATAAGCTGAAATAAATGCGTTTTTGCACATTCAGGAAAAGCTACTACTGCCAATAAGCGGTCTTGGCATTTGAATGGGCCCCAGTTTCGGGTGCCTAGTTAGGGAAAGCTATCAGTTCAGTCCCTCAGATGTCTTCATAATCGTGAGTAAGCTTGTGTTTCAATTTCTCGAATATTTAAATTATTAGATCTGTTGTGTGGCCTTTGAATTGCATGTCATTGTGGTCAGCTGAGGTACTGCTTGCTGTTTAAATGTATTGAACTTAAGCACTACATCCACGTAATGTAGTCAATTCTTTGTTGCAATATGTATTTTGGGGGGAGGGGGTGGCATTCTTTATGGAAAGAAAGAATTTGCAACACTTACATGGGAGGGGTGATGGTGGTAGACATTACAATTGATAAGGGGTTTGTGAGGTTTGTGTGAACTGTAATGCTGCTGGTTTATGTTGAGATTAATTTGTATTTTTATACTGGTCTGCCAAGAAAACCTGTTCTCACCAATTAAAAGTAAATACAATGAACGTTTGTATCTTCCTTTCTAGAAGACAATCTGTGGTATCGTGCTGCTGTGATAGCACGTGTTTCTGAAGATACTGTTTTGGTGGGCTATATAGATTACGGTAACTTCGAAGTTCTTCCACTGACTAGACTTCGTCCTATGATGTCAACATTAATGGACTTGCCAGCTCAAGCCATAAGATGTACCTTGGCAGGTATGTAATAAACAATAAGCTGTTTCAAACTAGATGGAGGCAAAATAAGTGGGGTTAAATAACGATCACACCTGCAGTATCTTATATGGAAATATGGGGAAGGATGGAGATAATAGTAGGCATTAGTTCCAGAATTCTTAATTGTTGTGACGTATCTATAAACTGTGACAAATCTTGCCTAATGTACCTGGTGACCTGCAGTTCTATGTCTGGAAAACTGTGTTGTATAAACGTACCTGTTAGGTTTTGCATGTGCTTTTGTTCTAAGCAAAATTCAGTCACCTACTGGATTTGGAATTCTTTAATCTGTTGTGGTTCTAACACTGCAGGGGAAGGTAAAATTTCATTTTATACCTTGAAATTCAGAACTGTATGCGACCCCCACCCCTGGGGTAAATGTAATGAAACTACTGGTAGACTCCTCTCCATAGGACTGTGAAATCTGTCAAATTGGGACATTGATGCTTGCTACTTCATCCTCTGTTTCAAGCCAGGATCATAATCTGTCTTTTTTTTTTTTTTACATACTTGTTTAACCTGCTGTTGGAAATAGTTTTTCTCTGTTTGTTCCCATCACTATGGAAGATAGTTCACCTCTTTGCTTCAGTACCTCTCCTTTAGAATACTTGAAGTCTACCCTTCCTTTACAGTACTTGATATTTAACCTGATTTTCAAATTTTTGGTAAAGTTCAGAGCAGCATTCTAGCTTCTTACTTGGGAGGAAAACATGAAACAATGCTTCTCTTGTATTTAGAGATGGAACCGATGCATATGGAATGTGACCTAAAGAAATCTCTCTTCTGGGGCAAAAGATGATGCCTGTAGCTGATTCTAAGACTAAGAAAGGTCCTAAACACATGGACACAAAAAAGCGATCAGATTATAATGCTTCCTGATTAGAGTCAAGGATTACTGCTGCATGAAATGTATCTTTCTGGAAGGCAACTTCTGTCAATCTGTTACTATAATGTTCTGGTTATAACTTCCTTTTTATAAATAAATTCAGTGGCATAAAGAGTAAACGTTTAAGGAGGAAGAAGCTTATAGAAGCAGATACATTGGCTGAGAGATGATTAATGTTGTTAAAAACTATAGGTTATATTCGTAAGATGCAAAGACTGACACTTCTTATAGACATTGATACTAAAAAAGTATTAAATCTGAATTTAAACCTCTCTTTGTGTAATAGACTCATTATACATTATCGTTGTCAGTTTTTTACTAAATTCAAGTACTACAAAAGTTCAGAATGTAAATATTTGGGTTTGGAATCTTGTTACAAGCATGAGAAATGGGGCCAAGTTTTACTTGGTATATCTGCTGCTTAATCTGTTGTTTTAAACAGTGGAGTTGTACTTTTCCACATATTGTTGAGACTGGGGATGTCCTCAGAACCTTTCCATACTATGTGACTGTTTAGGTGTAAAGCCACCATTAGGAGCCTGGACCTCGAAAGCTATTTCTTTTATGAACCAACTGGTGAAAGACAAAGTATTCACAGTAAAAGTGGTGGATAGAGAGAGTTACAGAGCTGTGGTGGAGCTTGTGGATGCATCAGTTACTCCAGTAATAAATGTATCGAGCCATCTCATAGGGAAAGGCTGTGCAGCTGAGGAATCGAGGATGGCCTTACCAGCAATCGGAATGAGTGATATTAAGCGAGCAGATGGTGAGTACAAGCACATCCTGATATATATGTGTGTGTGTGTGGGCCTACATAACAACATTAAAATTGCTTACTTTTGGAAGACCATAGTAGTATTTTGCTTTCTTTGATTGGAAGTCTTAGAGTTTCCCATTGAAGTAGGATATAACTAGTCGGCACCTGCGGCTTGTTATGCCGTTGTCCTTTAGCTCAAATAGTATTTCCTCTTCATTGCCCTATATGTTACACCTAAACCCACTTATTCAGTCCTTGAAAATTTGTTTGACTGTAGTAGCCTATACAGCTTCAAGGCTATGTCTAAATTGCCTTTTTTGCATTTAGTGACCAAAGCTTCAACTTGCGAGATTTGCAAATTCACATCAGATTTCTTTGTGTTGTGGGAAGAGTCCTAGCTTTGCTTATATAAAGCATGTTAAGCCCCTCTTTTCCATCCTGTGTCTGGTGAAACTATATGTTGTCTGTCGATCCATCTGTACTCAAAATTAGGGGAAGACTTTTTGTCAAAGCTATGTCCAAATCCCTTAATTTTGATCTTCCTCACTATATGCCTTGTGGCCAGGACATGGGGTGGTTCAGCCCAGAGAGGAGAAGACTCCAGGGAGACTTCGTTGCAGCCTTCCAGTGCCTGAAGGGGGCTTATGAGAAAGATGGGGACAAACTTTTTAGCAGGGCCTGTTGCAAGGGACAAGGGGTAATGGCTTTAAACCAAAAGAGAGTTGATTTAGACTGGATACAAGGAAGAAATTTTTTTTACAATGAGGGTGATGAAGCACTGGCTCAGGTTGCCTGGAGATGTGGTCGATGCCCCATCCCTGGAAACATTCAAGGTCAGGTTGGACGGGGCTCTGAGCAACCTGATCGAGTTGAAGATGTCCCTGCTCACTGCAGGGGGGAGTTGAACTAGGTGACCTTTAAAGGTCCCTTCCAACCCAAAATATTCTATGATCTTTGTTCAGAAGTGTAAGGAATCTCGTATAAAATTCAAATGAGCAGTAACTTTCATGGTTATATCCAAACACGTTTTGATCTATGGCCATCATCTTGACCCTGTTTTGTACTTCTTGGGTTTCTTGGTTACTTCTCACCTTTTTGTAATTTCTCGCACTGAGTGGGAGCTTTTGAATGCAGGTTCTGAAAGGATTATCAACTTTAGTCTTAAGTGTTTTAAAAGTTGTGCTTTTTATATTGGAATTTGAACAAATACATTTCTCTGTCAACTTGCAAAGTAGTTTTTCATTAACTTGTTTGCTTTATTTAAAGCTTTATTTATTTTGCTTTATTAAATCTGTGATGGCTGGATCTATCATGATATAAGAGTAGATTTTAATTAACTTGCCAGAAATTAATAAACAATGTATTTTTTGGTTTAGAGGACTACTTAGAAGAAATCTCACCATCCCATGAAAGAATAAACAATTACGTTTCACAGGTCTTAAGCGTTCTAAAGCTTTCTCTAAACTTGAGCCATGTGTTTATTTTTCTTGTCGATCTTTCTTCCTTCTGGACTGGAAAATCCAAGCAGCTTCTACTTCTTTGAGCACATCTCTCAAAATGTGCCAACTGTGCTTTGCCCTTTCCAGTAGGGATCTGGAAGTTGCTTACAGTGTGAAGAGCAGTCTGGTATTCCACTGAAAATAAAGATGATTTGAGAGCCTGTTTTGATTTGGGGGAATGTAGTTTTGTTTTGTGATGTTTTTTGGTTTTTTTTTTTCCCTTTGCCTGTTGACAGTATGACTTCCTAAAGTAATCTACTGTCAGACACAATATTGGGCAGATGAAACAGCGTCTTAGCGTGGCCATCCTTGAGGGTCAGAACTTTCTTGAGCTTCATTTTCAGAAAAAAACCCCAAACGTTTAGGACGGGAAAGGTCTACCAAAGTCAGAGGCCAGATACTTGGACTCAAGTCTTAAAAAGGCTGACAGTATTTCTGCACGCTGCTGCCTACCACAAGCTGTAACAAACTTGATAGCTATAAAATCTACAGGAAGATTTAATAATGTGCTAGTGGAGGAAACAATGGCTTCTCCCATTTGTCATAACTTAGTTTTCATGTGATCTATTCTACAACTTGTGTTAAATAATATGCTTCTTTTAGGTACTGGAGTATAATATACAGTGCAACCTTCTGCAACCAGTCTTTCTCTTAATCCTTATGTTCTTTCTTTTCCTTAGACCATTTCCAGTACATTCAGTGACAGCTGTTTCCTTCTTCTGTGTCCCCTACCCTGTTTCCCAGGAACCAAGGTTCCCCAGAGTTCCTCCTGCTCAGGTTATTGCCACCTGGTCTGTACCTTTTTGCGTGATTCCTCTTCCTTGCTCATCTATGGCTTGCCCTTCTCAATAGTAATCAAATACGTTAAGCAACTGGCACATTTTTCTTACTTGCTTTTGTTCTGCAAAGAGGCTCTCACTGGTAATTAGTCTGTTGGATTATTTATAGCAAGAAATTCGAGGGCATGAATGAGCCTTCTGGATGTGTAAATTTTTTTTCCTGTAAAAATGATTTTAATTTTCCTTCCTCCCTCTGCATACCTCTTCTCTTTCCTCTCTAGAGGACACAATGAACAAAGGAATTTGGAAGTGGAGTAAATTAACTCTTAAACAAACAGTAGATGTCATAGTGTGTACACTGTACAATCCTGGAGAATTCTACTGTCAGATTTCAAATAACAGTGGTAAGTTTATTCAGCTTTTTTCTTTCTGCTGGTTTCTTTGCTTCATGATTTGTCATTTAGTATAGTTCTAATGGATTACTGTTTCAAGTGAGCTCACAGCACCAAGGCTTATCGCTGAGTTTTGTATCTAAGAACACAAGTGGAATGATGAAGAAATTGGATCATGGTATGTAGTAACTCTGAGATTGAAATCTGAAAATGTTGAAGGTAAGCAGTTGAATAAAATTTAATCTAAGAATGTGGAGAAAAGTGAAAAGAGCTACCATAACCTAGGCAAAAGATATCTAAATAGAAGATAGCAAAGAGGAGACATGTTCCCTCTGCCCATACAATATTTACTGGAGCTCTCTTCTAGTACTCTTCCATGTTCTAATTTATAAAAACTTACAAAAAAAGACAAAATAACATGAAAATGAGAAACAGCAGCTTTTGAGACTTGACTTGCTCTTGGATAAGCTCAGAAAAAATCCTGGTCCTTTATTTGCATGTATAAAGACTTCTGATAGCCACTGGCTCTTTAATCTGCTAGAAAAAGAGCACAGTGAAATTCAGTGGCTGTAAGTGAAAGCTAAATGCATTCACAGCAAAAATATAGGGCAGATCTTAAAGTGGGGGAAGTCTATTCTTTGACTTATCTAGGGATAGTATAGATTCTTTGTGGCTGATGACTTTAAAACATGACTGAATTCCTCTCTAAAAGTGATGTTATAGAGCAGGTTAAAGGACTTGATATAAAAAAATACATAAGCAAGCAGGATGAGATCCCATAATCTGTCATATGCACTGGCTGAACTGGATAATTTCCATGGTGTTATCTGGCTGTAAAACATACTTTAGATTTTGGAGTGAATGGTGCTTGTAGGATTAGCAGGAAGAATTACTGATCATTCTGCTATCATACTGAACTAATTTGTCAGTAAGTATCAGCTAACTCACATCTTCTGCTAATAAATCTGTCTAGTAAGTTAACTAGTTAACTCGGTGTCAACAGTTCTTTTTAATGAAATTCTAAAATTCACAGAAATCTCCCCTCAAATTTTTTATAAGCAAGCTATACAGTGAACAGTGTTGATAAAGTCCAAGTCGGCTTATTTTGTTGATCTCGTCTTTTTTTTTTTCTAATTTTCAGAGTTACAGGCTCTAAACTTACTTAATAAATCATTGTCTGAATACTGTCAGAAAACTCCACCAAATGTTTCTAAGCCTGAGAATGGAGAACCTTGCTGTGCTTTTTTCTCTGGTAAGTAGCAGAGTAAAATGTTTTTAAAGGGTGAATATAAATCAAAGACAAAAAAAATTAGGTATCTGGTAGTTTTCATTGGTAGAGGATAGCAAAGAATTGGATTTATTTGCTGAAAAATAAATGCTGGTAAACTTACTAAATGTGAAGTAAACTTTTTTTTTTTTAATTTTTAAAATTAGGTGATGGTAACTGGTACCGTGCTTTGGTGCAAAATGTTACTTCGGATGGAAGTGTTAAAGTATGCTTTGTAGACTACGGAAATGTTGAGGAAGTACCACTGGATAAAGTACGGCACATCTCATCCTCGTTCCTAAAACTTCCATTTCAAGGAATTAAATGCTGGCTCTCAGGTGGATCTTTTTATTGGTTCTTTCTCTTGTAAGAGCTCTTGCATTTAGAGATTAGCTGCTTTGGGGGAAGGAGGTGATGACAGGGTATACTTTACAGAACTCTTGAGTTTTGGGGGTTTTGGGGGGGATGTTGGTGATGGTTGTTGGTTGGTTTTGGTTGGTCGTGTTTTGGTTTGGGTTTTTTTTCTTAATAAACGTCTGTGTTGCTTCCAGCCTCTAGCAATTGTGAGAGATGTTGTTTTAGCCTTACTGCACAACTGACTGGCATTTAACAGAATGATGGTGGCTCTTCCTGAGCTTCTGACACTGCTGTGGAGTGATCTGCATGGAGGTTACTTACTGATTTACTAATCAAAGAGAACTCGTCATTGAGTTCTGCTTCATCTGTAGTGCTTACTAGCTTTTGGTTGCTGCCTTGCTAGGAGTAAATGTGCTTTTGTGCAGCTCAATTATTTTTAAAATTTTTTGCAGGCAAAGGGTCTCATCTGTTTTGATGAAGCAAGTTGGCCTTTCAGTTCACTGGAGGGATGTTTCACTTGATTCCTGCAGAGTTTAGCACTGTACTGCTGTTTCTCAGTCTTCTACCAATTCTCTACCTCTTCCTTTTCCACATTGAATCCCTCAAAATTCTACAGAATCATTGTTTCTTTCTATTGTAGTCTACTTGGTTTAAAAATAAAAAATGTGGAAACAGGAAGAGGCTCAAAACCACATTTTGTCAAAGTGTCTTCTGCTGTTTTTTTTTCTCTCTTAAAACACTTTGGGTTTTGTGCTCGGTTGATAAAAAGGCTATATTAAACTGATTCATAAACAGTCTTGGCAGTGTTGCTTGTGCTGAGGCACAGGGATTTACTTGGTAGAATATCACAAAATGTAGAAAACAAAACTTGGGAGTCCTGAGGAAATGCATTCTTTTAGAAAAAAAAAGAGGAAGAGGGAGACCAGTTAACAGGATGAAGTAAAATTTGTGTCCCTAAGGGAGTAAGAGTGGTGGCCTTGGTATTTCCAATTGTACTTTAGGAAAAAATAAAAAAAAATTTTAAGGAAAATGCAATGTTGAAGTAGTTACTTAATGGAGATGTGTTGAACGGTTCTCTTACTCCCTAGGTATAAAGCCGAGTAATAGCAAATGGATCCCAGAAGCTACAGCAAGATTTCGTATGTACACTACAGGGATAAAGCTTCAAGCCAGAGTGACTTCCCTTTCCAGAGATGGGGCAGGTGTAGAGCTTATTGACAATTCCACAGGTCTTCCAAAAGTTATCAATGAGATATTAACTTCTGAAAAACTGGCTGTAAAGGAAGTTCTACAAGATAAAAATAACTTTTCAAACAAGCCTGTTGACAAAAAAGGTAATTAAATGAATGTTAACTTTAAGATTGAAGGAGAATTGTCAGTATTCCAGCCTTTAACGATGATCTTGCTGTTTAACCGTACTTAATATCAGTAATAAACATGGATAGTTTTGATTATGTTGTCAGTTTTCAGTTAAACACAAGCTGCCCTGCAGATGGCAATATAGACAAAAAGAGAAAGATGAAAATCACTGGGTTTTTCTTAAAGAAATGCTATTTGAGTATTTGACAGTGGAGAGTTACAAATTTGCTACAACTGAAACTTTTCCTGTGTTTACTTTCTAGTATCTTATTTTTGAGGTGTTTTTTACTTTCACTATTTTATGTGCTAATAGTTTATGAACAGCAAATTAAGCAAGACTTACCTTGGTTGAGATTTGTCTTCCTAAAGTGAAGAAATGCAGTTGTCTTTAAAATTCCAAAAGATATTCTGTAACAGTTACTTATAATACGTATGTGCTTGGAGGAGAGTGGTACACTGCATTTTCTTACTGCTTCTCTTAGAAACCTCACTTGGGCACTGGAGGTCGATTGAATTGGCTATAGGTGAAAGCATACCTGTGTGTGTAACAGAAGTTGTAAGTCCAGACCTGTTCTATGCTGTACCAGTTCAAACTAAAGGTAAGAAAAAGTGTTCACTGTTCCTAATATCAGTAAGAAGTCACCACTGCAAGCTAGTTAATGAAATGAATGCCTGTAGTGAACTGAACCATGTGGAAGTGTAGCTCTGACAGAAAAAATGTAAAAAATGCCAAAGGTGAGAGCAGAGGAGCTTCAAAGTAAGTATGCTCTTTCTTCTACCCAAACGTGGTTAGTTATTAAATGTTTTTCTGTAGATCAAGAGAAGCTACACAGGCAGTTGATTGAACTAGAAGGCTATTGTAAATCTTGTAAGAACCAGCCCTTCAAACCCGAACTGGGTGAAGCCTGTTGTGCCAGGTCTTCAGGTGAGGCAGTCATTTATTCTTATATTTCCTTTCCAAGTATAAAACACAACTTTCATTTTTGCTTTAGAAAAGGGAAGAATGCCAACTTTAGAGTGCTTACACTTAATTCTGTTACAAAGGGTAGCCTGGCTGCATTTTTGGGGCAAAGAAATCATCTGATAGTCCAAGGGAAAAAAAATAATGAATAGGTTGTGCCCTTTTTGTTTCTTTTTTTAGTTTTGGTTATGTTTTGAGAGGGAATAGGCTTTGGACGACAAAGGTAAACGGTACTCTAGTACAAATCTTACCTGTATAATTTGAGCCAAATTTTGAAAGCAACACTTTCATCTTTATGAATACAGCAGTCAGAAACGATTCCCTTGTTCTAAGGGCTTGTTTCTTGTCAAGTGGCCTTTTCTATATGCCAGCAAAAAATTCCTGGAAAACTGTACAGATTCTTGTTTTTTGAATAAGCTGTGTTTTTAAGATGGTATTTCACATGTGATTCTTCTTGTCCAATCTTTTCAGGTGATGGCTATTGGTGCAGAGCTCTTGTTCTAAAAGCTTCTCAGTCTGCAGTGAAAGTACTATATGCAGACTATGGGAACACAGAAACTTTACCGCTTTCAAAGGTGCTGCCAATTGCTGATTCCTACTTAAAGCTGCCTTTTCAGACAATTTTGTGTTCACTTGCAGGTAAAAAAAAAAAAGCCCAAAACAACAAAAAAAGCCACTCCAAAAAAACCCTGACTGGTTTTCTTGAACATTATAAACCTGTAGCTATTCTCGTGATAAGTGTTCATTCCCTAATACTGATACATGTGATGATCTGCTGAAGTAGTACACCGGTTAATAATGTGTAAGCTGTTTTGGAAAGTATGTTTTTAGTTAATTATCTGTAGAATGTAAGCTATTAGGAAAATTTAGCATCATATTTTCAAAAACAGTTGTAGTGTTACGTGTAGGATTCAAGTCATATCGTAAAGGAATTCTTCACAGAACAAACTTAATTGTACTTTTTTTCAGGAATAGAGAAAGCCGAGTGGTCTCCATTATTACTTGACAGGTTGAAAGAGATGTTATTGAATAAATATGTCACAATTACAGTGAAAGGCATTAATGGAAATGTTAATTTAGTAACAGTGGAGAAACTTTGTGAAAATGGTAGTCTGAATGTGGCTGACAAACTGGTAATGGAAGGTTTTGTCAAATCCTGCCGTGCTGAAAACTTACATAGGGAACATCAAGGTACGTATTTTCACTTAATTACTTCAAATTACTTAATTTGAAGAACTGTGGGCACACAGAATGTCTAAGTGACTTTTTCTTCTAAAAGTCTTAGAGAATTCCCCTTATCGCCCCTTAAATTAGGGAAGCAGTGTCCATCTGTATTTTGCTCATTCACTTGCTTTGTTTTTTGTAGGCACTGGAGGTGAGACCAAATGCTGCTGCACAGAGTTAAAAATTCGAGTAAGATTCAGTCCAAGCAGTACTCACTTTATGTTTCCAGAATTTAAAAGAAACCCTATGTGGGAGGCAAATGGGAGTGGGGGGAGATAACAGCTAAGCAAAACATTGAAGATGTGCAAAGTGAATATCCTGATGCTTTTTCTCAGTCTGTTTTATGCAGATAATAATTAGAGCACCCTGAAGCTGAAGGAGGATAGCTTATAGATCACACAGGCTTTGTTACTTTGTTTTGCCACACATATACCTGTATTTTTGTTTCCCCCCCCCTAGAGTATGAAGGCTCAGGAGTGTTATTTTTGTCTGGTGTGTAAAGGTAGTTGCGGTGTTTGGCATAAACTCTGTCATTTGGACAAAGGGCAGCTGGATTTTTTTCAGTAACGTGGTTGTGTTTTGCTGTGGATACACATTGTAAGAATTTTCTTACATGTGCAGCTGACTGCCAAGTTGTATTTCAGGTAGCAGACATTGATATGTGCCACAGTTTCAGTCATGGAGCTAGGGCTGAATCTTTCAGTAGAACACTGGAATTTGTAACAGTGTTTGCTGGTTGCAAGATTTATTTTTTTTTCTTTTGAAAACAAAAAAAAAAAGTGTCACAGATTATGGCATAGTCCTGTAATTTTTGAAAGCTTTCTTGTTTTAAGCTTTCTCATTTTTTATTTTAACTTAAACTATTTATGAAAAAATAGAACTTTAGGTTACTAAAAGTAACTTAAAGTATACCAGAAGAGATGCATCAGCCTTTCTCAAAGTGAGGATCTTTGTCAGAGGAACAAACAAGATTTTGAATTTTAAAGACACAAATCCCTTGCAAGCGTGGTTCAGCCTTCCCCCTCTCTCCCAGCCAGTGGCAGCAAGGTCCAAAGCAAAATTATGCACTATGATATTATGGAGGTAGGAAAAGAGATTTGGGCCTTTACTGCTTCAGAGTAGGTGTAGTTACCAGCAGTTTAGTGGCAGAAAAGCAGTAAAAAACTATATTGTTCCTGAATGTAGCTGATTTCTCTGCCCTGCTGTAGGCTGCTGAACCTCCTTTTTCCTTCCCCCTGTATCTGTCTTTGATCTTCCAGTTTGATCTAGCTAATGTCTTTTCTGACTTCAGTTTGGTGACTTTGTCTTCTGTCATCCTTCCTTACTTGACTAAGTTGACTCAAAGTCTCATGACAGAGGAAGAGAAGACAGAAGATACCAATATAACTGTGAAACCATCAGGAAACATACATCTTTGAATAACCAGATTTAAGACCCTGATCTCAGTGGTAGTTTGAGTATTTCATCAATTTGATTCAAGGAAGCTTCTTCTTCAGAAAGAAAACAGGGGGCAGGGGAAGTCAGCTCAGTTCTGCTGGCTTTTTCGCCCTCCGAAAGATTTTACAGCAGAAAGGATCTGCATGTTCATTGAACTAATCTGGGTCTTAGGATCTACCCTAATCTGAAATCATGTTTCTTTCTGCTTATTCCACAGCTTCAAAAGCATGAACAGATCCTACTCTTCCTTTTAAACAAGTATGGAAATCCAGATGGATTCACTGAAATGAAAAAACTGTTGGAATCCTAAGTCATGTGCCATTTCATTAGTATGTGTACCAGGTTGCTGCCATTCCATTTTTGGAAGAGCAAGTGTATTCATCAGCTGAAAAACGAGAGTCGCTTTGTAGAAATTCTGCTGTTTACATACCTGTACTTACCTGTATGCTTGGATTGTTATTGTGAAAGAAGTACGTAACGTCAAGGATTTCAAAGCTGCAAGCTAAAATTTTCTGTTCTGTTTTTGTTTTACACCACTGTGTGCTCCTAAGCTTTTTTTTTTGCTTTTATTTTGCTGTTGAATGCACATAACTCTAAGGAATGGCCATTGAGTTGTGAGTCTATTCTGCAAACTTACGTTTAAAATTATTGTAATTGGAAAGCTTGCTTCAACTTTGGTACTATTAATTTTACTTAAAAAACTGTATCTTATCTTGATTAGGCTTCCTTCAACTGAATTTCCAGTCTGAAGTTAAACTGAAAATTAGTCTTTGTAAACTTGGTTTCAGAATCATTATAGGCTGAATCTTGTCTTGGACTGCATATGGGTAGTTCTCTCTAAAAGAATCGGCAAACACAAATGCACACAGTTCTTCATGTACACTTAGGCCGTGTGACATGCATCTGTGAATATTGTTTTGAAGTAAATTGTGTTAGAGCTGTTCTGTCTGTAGCTATGTTGTCAGGATTTCTACCCCATCAAGTTTTTTCACACCGTAATAGAAAAGTCCCAAATGATTAAGGGATTTTCAGTATTTCTCTAAAATGTAGTTGATACCTAACTGTCATTTCTGGCCAGTCCAGTGGTGATGTTAATAAGGAATGCTTCATTACTGTTCAGTAGAGCACAGTAGACATTTGCTTATTGAAACTGCCTGGTCAGCTTTTTTGTCCACTTGAAATATATATTTTAAGTTCAGGTTTTGTGCAGATTGGCAGGATCTTGAGATTAAATTTGTTGTGCAAGTGAAGTATTTTTGTTTCACTTAATGTTTTATTACACTTAAAATGCCTCGGATTTTTTTCCTGCCTCTTAGTTTTTGTTGCCTCACTTTCTTGCAGTATCTAATAATTAAACCAACTCTTGCACGTGGGTCTTGAGTTCTGTTTGTGCCCCCAGTTCTGAACAGAGAGGGTGGCTGTCTCAAGTGTCCTTTGACTCCTGGGACATGGGCCTTTCACAAGCACTTGCCCACATGCAAAGCAACTCGCAGATGCTTTTGTCCTCCCGTGGCTCTTGTTCGCTCTTCCACACACCACCTCTCCTAGCACCTAGCCATTGCATTTCGGAAGATGACTTTGACCGCAGTAGTCAAAAGTAGTCGCTTTGTCAATGCTTTGTAAGCAGGAGAAAGGACAAGTGAATCTTTGCTTGTTTGACTCGGGCAAAAACCCCTGGAAAGCAGCAGCGGGTGTTTCACTTGGGGATGTGCGTGTGGTGCCGCACAGAGGTATCTGGCAGTAATCCTTCTGGACAGTGGAAGGAAAGGAGAAGGAAGAGATTTCATAGGGTTCAGAGACTTAGTTCACTCCTTAATTTCAGGTAAAATCTTTGGGAACACTAATGTAGGGACAAATCAAGCATGGAATGTGGAAACCTCTTGGACTTCTTGATGTAACCTTTGGTGGTTCTTGCTTTTCCTTTTCTCTGCTAATTTTAATCTGTAACTGACATCTGTTCTTGAAGTAATAAACCATCAGCTATGGATTATATTTATCTAAATAATAGTATAGAATCTAATTCCGAAGTAAACTTCCATGTGTGATTATGTCTAAACAAAGGTTATTATATGAAACACTTAAAACTGCAACATCTGTACTCTTAGTAAATAAACTTTCTTACCTCCTCTCCATCCTTTCTGGAGAAGAAAAACAAAAGTGAACTGGAACTCCAGACTAACAGCACTTCTGAAAGGGAAGTAGTATAGACAAAAATCTTACAGTGCTGAAAAACAACAGGGGTTTTTTAATCTTTTAAAGACCGTTTTCATTTACAAATCACTGTTGGAGGAACTAGAGCATGCCTTGTTCATTGGGTTTGACTGAAATGTTTTGCTTATTTTTTATTTAGCACTTGGTGTTGCATTCCATCCTTAACACTGCATGCTGAGGTAGGTGCAAGGGAGTGTTTTGCCCGTACAGATTACAAAATTATTGATCCGTGTTTTAGTTTTGTGTGGGAAGAGGTGTGCAAGACACTCTTCAACTGGAAGTGCTTGGTCTTGCGCGATTACCAGTACCTGCAGCTGTCTGATGCTGGTTAAGCCTGTGGGGTTAAGGTGATACAATGCCTTTGAAAGGCAGTGTGGTCTTGAGGCTTGGACTCTTGAGGTCTTGCTGTCTGCTTTTAAACTCTTACTACAAGGTCTGACACCTTCTCTCCCCCAAATACATGTTTACTTTTTCCAAAGGTACTTTTTTTTTTTTTTATTGAGGAGCATTGCTCAGTCACAGAGTGTCCATCGCAGTGGTCAGCTGCTCCTTCATGCAGTACAGCCCACCCTTGGGATGGGTCAGGCAGAACCTCGCGTGGGATTCAGCAGCCGCCAAGCTGTGCCAGACCCCGTTTGGTAGTGCCAGCCGGGTTACTGTACCCTTCCCAGAACTGCATTGCCATCTAAAAAGAAACTCAAGAAAACAGCTAGGGATTGAGTTTGGTTAGTTAGTACTCTCATCTCTTAAATTTGCCTGGCAGGGAAGGGCTGAAAGCACGGTAACATCAATCCTCTGAATGTTTTAGAATTACAGGTTTGTAACAGCTACGTTGTGGTAACCCTGTAGGACAGAAATGTTTTCTCCAAAGCTGGACCGCCCTGTCGTACCGCTTTATTTGAAATCGATTGCTCTGGTGCTGTTTTCTTCCTCGGCTTTTATTGTGGGAGCTGGTTTTTGGTGGTGGGTTGTGTGGTGGGGTGGCATCTAGCCTGGTTACGTACCCTTTCGCTCCGCGTCAGGCCTCTGCAGGAAGGAGAACAGCTGAGCAAGGTCCGAGTGCTGCGTGCCCACGGCACAGCTCCTCTGCTGTCCTTGCTCTTGCTGCTGAGGTCTTGGCGTTGCTCCGCTTTCACGGGTGGGGGCTGGAGAAAGCATCCTTCTAAACCCGTGGCGGGGAGGCAGAGGTGCTGAGAGGGGCAGAGCCGACCCCCGTCCCGCTCAAAAACGAGCCCTGCTGCTGTAACTCGTGGTTCCTGTGTGCGTTAGAGAGGGACGGGGATGCCCTCTGCAGAGGGCTGGGGTGGGAGGCAGCGGGACCCTGCTTCCGAGTTAGCTGAGAAAAGGCAAACAGGCATTGAAATGTGACCTGGAAGCTGTGAAGATGATTTAGCGGGGGCTTCTGCTATGCTGACGTCCATTTCGTTTGTTTATTTTGTGTAGTGAAGGCGAGGCATCGCTGGGAGACAAGTCCCGCATCAGCCACATCTTCACACTCACCCCCTCCTTGTGGGTGCTGCCTGCTGGGGTAGTCAGAATCGTAGAATCATTCAGGTTGGAAAAGACCACTAAGATCATCAAGTTGACCCTGTTGTCTTCAGCATGTGCTCCTGAAGATGTCTGGGTCTTCTAGGGAGACTCTAAGAGGAATAAGTAGATGGAATCACAGAATCACAGAATGGTAGGGGTTGGAAGGGACCTCTGTGGGTCATCTAGTCCAACCCTCCTGCCGAAGCAGGGGCACCTACAGCAGTCTGCATAGGACCTTGTCCAGGCAGGTCTTGAATATCTCCAGAGAAGGAGACTCCACAACCTCACTGGGCAGCCTGTTCCAGGGCTCCATCACCCTCAGAGGGAAGAAGTTCTTAAATCTCTTTTGACTACATTAGTTCTGCTAGGAAAAAAAAAAAAAAACCATGGACAATTCCTTCTTTCTAAAGCTGCTTTAGAAAGGGCTGGCACACGTCTGTCCTGAAACTGCGTGCAGGTAACAGCTTGTATGTGTTTGCTGGAGTGGTGCTGTGGAGAAGGTTCCCAGGCTGTGGCTTGTCCTTGGGGCTCACAGAGATGCAGCAGGAGGAAGAGGAGGAGGTGTGAATTGCGGTTAGTTTTGTGAAAGGGGCTGGATATATAATGAGCAAGAACATCTTGGCATTGTGCATGCTGAGGTGAGGACAGACTCATTTTTAGGAGCTAAACTGAATACTGGAGATGATGAGAAAGGCTTTTTTTTTTTTTTTTTTTTTTTTTTTTTTTTTCCCCCCCCTCTGCCTGGGAAAATCCTTGCAGCTGGCTGGCTTCAAAGGTGGAATTCCTCCTCTTCTGCAGTATCGGGTGCTGGGGAAGGACAGACCAGAATTTTGTTTCCTCGGGAGGCAAGCTTCTCATAGTAATCTTTAAATCCTTATTCCTGGCTGTGGTACTATGAAGTTTGTCTTTCTAAGCCAGCCAGCAGGTGCCTGTGGTTTGAGGCCTGGCTTCATTAACAACCAGCTTGGTGCTCTTTGGCCCGTGGTTTTCTTCTGCTGCAGACAACAAGCACCCCTTCTCGCACTGCTAAGAACGCGTGCAGGGGAGGCTGTCAGGACAGCGATATCACCAAGTGAAAGAACAGAAGTTTTTTTGTCTTGTGAGATGAGGTGACAAACCTAAGGTCTTCCTGGCCCTCTGGGAAGCTTTTGGACAGCAGTATCTGGGTGGCATGGTGGTACACCTAAGCAGTAAAGCAGAGAGATGCAATCTTGCTGATGTGCACAAGAAAGCTGCCTGCAAGGAGTGTGATGCTCTCCCAGCTTGTTCTTTGGGAACCACTTACAGCTCCTCACGGTGCAGGTAGATCAGTGGTTCATTGACCTCAGGAGTGGATGTTTCTGGTTGGTGGGAGGCGATACAGGTTAGGCACCCAGCTGTAGCCTTCCTGGGTTTGCACAGCTCAGGGTGGGGGTAATTACAGTAATTGCACTGGAACCCATTGCCTTGAATTAGCAGTTCTCAGCAGGGTATGTGACCGAGTGTTATGGGTTTGTGTGGCAAGGTTTTGGTAGCGGGGGGGCTATAGGGGTGGCTTCTGTGAGAAGCTGCTCCCATGTCTGATAAAGCCAGTGTCAGCCGGCTCTAAGATGGAC